AATTTTCTTCTGACACCTACTCATGAATTTAATTGAAATTACTTAGTTTATTTCTAAAGAGTAATAAAAGAATGTTTAAATGTGTGGATCATTGAGTGTATATTAAAAGACAATAAAAGACTGCACAAACTGATCAGTTTATTTCAGTGTCTAATAAAAATAAAGACAACAAAGGAATAAGTATTATGTTTATTGACCATACAGATTTTCCTAAAAAAAAAAAACTGGCGCATGCGTGTTTTTCTAAGTTTTTTGGCGAAAAATTAGGCACCTATGAGCAGATGTTACTTCTGTATTAAATTAAAAAATGGCGCATGCGCATTAGGAACGCCTGTATTTTTTATAACTTTTTTGGCGGGAAAATTGAAAATTTTAAAATGCCTCTTGACCTAGAAAGTTCAAATTTGAATAAACGCGCCAAACAACATTTGCTTACGTTTGTCTTGTAGTCTCCGATTTTGGCAAATTACCATAACATCTTTGCTAGAATTTCGTTAAATCTGTTTTGCATCTCTGATTAAATGCTATCTTCCACTTGTACTTGTCTCTCTCTGTTTGATTCACCAGTCAGTCTGCAAGAAAATAAAAATAAACCCGGCATTATTAAGGATATGATCTAGAGTACGAACCATCAAAAATTCAGGATTCTCTGGAAAACACTCCCACAAAATGTTTTATTTTTTACCGTCGTGGTTAGAAAACACTAAAGAGAAAAACGAACAGTTTAACCGATTGATCAGACATAGTTTTTTGGGCCGAGCATAAATAACAGGTTTTTGAACAATGGTCTACGATCGTATTATGTGAAGGTTGCACTTGCACCCCCTGTGGAAAATCTAATCATCCACGACATTTAATTTGTATAAGGAATTAGGTGGACGTAAAATTCTTTTGTTCCTACCAGGACACTGAGTTCGGTCGTTACACTTCTCAGGCTATTCAACATCGAATAATTGACTTTAAATCCTTGAGTTTTTTTTTTGTCGCCTTGAACAAGAAAACATACTAGTAACCTGGATTTAGCGATTAAAATCTTAGTGAACTTTTCGAAATAAACTTATTAAATTTTAACGATTCTCCAACTTGTTGTTCTCAAAGATTGAGCTAGATTAATCAATTTTAAACCGTAACAAATTTGGCATTCAAGTTTCAATAAATTATCTACCTGAATACTAATTACTGGAACTTGCTAGAAAAATAGTTGTCTTTGTTATAGTTTTAGCAGCTCTTTGAGAACCGTGCGTGAGCAAAGTTCAATAGCATTCCGATCATTTTGCACTGACTAACAAATAAATCCTGTAATTACAATGTGTGGAAAGAATACAAAACACTGAGCCTCATTAATAAAGAGCTCTCGACCTAAATTGCAGCTTTGATTTTTCCAAATCTTGATTTTGCCAGATGCTCATCCAGTTACCACTAATTTTTCTCGATACAGTTTGAGTGTTAACAAGTGTTTTTCAAATCAGCTTAATTTTGGTTCTTAACTCAGTGTTTGTCAGGTGTATATCAATATTTAAATAGGGCTTTCTGATTTAGCAGAAGTCTGCGGAAGTGAAACTTACTGCTAGGTAAAAGCTTAGTTAAAGCCGAACTGACTGGGTCAACTTAAACAACCACGAACAATAACATCATCACTTCTTAATTGAATAAATTATCATTCAGAACGCGGAAGAGTCTGGTGCAAACTTTCGTCAAATCGGAAAACCCTTATCAACAGCTTCTGTGTCTGTTAACGATTACGAAGAAAAAAGAAAAATATTTCAAAGAATCCAATTAGATTCTCTTCCTGCCACACCGAAAAGACTTGGCATCGAAAACTGTAACAAATCAAGAATAAAATTTGACTAACATTGAACTGAAAACAGTGGAATCCCAAAGATACCTTTCATAGGGAAAATAAAAGCTGCAACAGGTTTCTTAAACAACCTATATTTTCTAAATTATTCACTGTAACTAGCGCTGGTGGGATTGTGTTTGCTTGTTAATGTTTTGAAAAGTCCATAATCTGAAAACAAGCCATCTATTCATATAACGAACGTTTTTCTCTGAAAAGATATCTATGAATAATTATGGTTATCTCCTTGTTTGTTAGTTCATTCATGTTTTATATCCAGAATCATTTGTTTTCCTAGTATTGTTAAGCAACGCTATTGGCATGCTCCTCAAGTCTCCGAAATTTCTATAAAGCTCACAGGATAAGGTTTACAGTCTCTTGGCTTTAGCGAATCAGTACAAATGAACATACAAACCAAATCGCATAAACAATCTGTTTACAAAATTTAAACTTGAACATCAAAATAACTTTTCTAAGACTGTTCTTCTTAATGAAAGCTCTTTGAGGCATCTAATATTCCAATCGTATCACAAGAAAGTACTCTTGATAACACGGACTAAAAAATATGTTTAAGATTTTGAGCTATCTGGTCTCATGTTCCCTACTGAATATCAAAGACCTTTCAGAGATTTAAAAAATGTTTTGTGCACAATTTAAGGAATATCACATTTTGGCGCATATATTCTCCAAATTGGAATGAAGCGTAAGGACTGGACATCTCAAAATTAGGCGACAATTTTTAAACCTTACGTAATGAAGGGTCTGAATTAGTGTTTGGACTCAAGAAGCAAGCTTATTTACGTTTCTCTTAATTCATTTTCAGTAGCATAATTTCTTTTGTCGTTTTTTTTTTTTTAACAAGGTTCCTGAAATAGTTAAGCTTGACTTTGACGTTTTTATATGCGACACCACATCATTTTACATAAATTTCATTTACATGCAGAGATGGTAACGCGTTCATAATAATCTTTTTTTATACCTTGTCTTGCAATTTTATTAATTGCGAATACTTTACTGATTTTAAATGTGTTTCAAAATGGAACAAAAAGGAATATCACATTTTGGTGCAGACTCTCCAAATTGGAATGAAGCACAAGCGCTAGACATCTCAAATTAGGCTATAAGTTTTAAACCTTACGTAATGAAGGGTCTAAATCAGTGTTTGGACTCAACAAGCAATCTGATTTACTATTCTCCTATTCCATTTTCAAAGCACACTCTTTCAGTTTTGTTTTAACTTCGAGAGACAGTAGTCAAATAGGCTTCGAGAGGTACGTTAAATCAAGCAAAATAACGTTTAGTTAATATTGAAAAACAATACGCTATGATAATAAATTGTGGTGATAAATAGTTCAGTAGCCTCAAGTACTAAAGTAAAATTAGGCGCCAACCTTCTTCTCTTCAATTTTTTTTTCTACTGAATCATTAAAGAAAGTTCCTACCTTCTTTACGACGAAAATTTCCTATGAATTACGCCTCAGACTTGATATTCATTTTATAATGATCAGCCTGGCACTACAAGTTACCACAGCTACGCGATACACTGCTAGAGTTCTCCCCCCTCCCTGCCATAAATGCGCTGTTTCAGCTACTCACTCAAAATTGAATGAGCTCGACGATCAAACTCCTTTTTCCAACCCTTAATAATAAGTCGATCAGTTCTTCGCTTTAGTGTGAATTGTAACAAAATTTGACGATGCTTTAAAACCCTATTCAAAAGTCTCATTTCCAATGCCATGGCAGTACAAAAATCACAGCATTACAAGTTTAATTATTTTTCTTCAAAACTGATAATGATAAAAAAAAATATCCAAGGCCCCAATTCTAAGATATCTGTAGACCGTGTATCAATATCTGTACGCTTTTCGACTCGGTAGACATGTTAATCAGTGTTATCGAAGATATTTAACTGTCATTACTGCCGTAACATCAACCTACTCCAAAATGCCTAAAATCATGTCATAGCTAAGCACATTAAACCATGAAACTCAGATACAATTCAATTTTCGTTCTTGCTACTTACACTGAAGTGCTGCGAGGTTCCTTGAACGAGCTGGTCCACCGTCACTTCAAATCTCAAGCCCGCCACTGCCGTTGAATTTCAGATTGTTAGGCTCACTAGCTTCGAGAGTCTTCCCGCTCTAAGAAGATCCACGGACTTAATCTCGATCTGAGACTTGCCTTCTCAAGAATTATTCTCCGAAGAAACCTTGCTTTGCAAGCGTGTTTTTGATCAAGAAGCAGAAGAGCAAAACGCCTCGTGCAAAGTTGACGAAGACAGTGAATATGAAATTAGTTGAGATATATTTGCAATGCAAATTCAAACGCAACTTTCATAAATGAGTGGCAATGGTAGAATTCTTATATGTGATGCAAAGGCTCCAAAAAATGAATAATAAAACAACAACAAGAACAACAAAACAAAATTGTAATTGTACACTAGAAGTATTTTCTAATAGTTTAGTTAGGGTTCAACTTAATTTAGATACCGGGGAATTAAATACAGCTGATAGGTGCCTGTGAAGGTGATACATTCCCCAGACGTTTTAGAAGGGGCAAAAGTTTATTTTTTAAATTGATTTCGAGTTGCTACTTAAAAGCCTCTTATACTGCACTTGGTCAATGATTTTCTACAATTTGCTATGTTGAATGAATAAATGAATGAATGAATGAATGAATGTATTGATGAACAAACGAACGAGTACATGAGTAATAAGCGACTGGGTGACTAAATGAGAGAGAGATCCGAGAGACTTAGTGAGCGAGCGAGTTTTAATGAATGGGAAAATGGGGGAATGAATTATGAATAAAAGAATGAATGAATAGTAGGCGAGAGAGTGAGTAAATGAGTGGGAGAGAGGAAGAGTTAGCGAGTGAGAGTTAATAAAGAATAATCAAATTAATGAACGAATGTTTGGGTGATCGGCATATAATAATAATCGATTGACTGAATGTTTGACTAACCGACTGACTGACTAATGGATGAATGAATGAACGAATGAATGAACGAATGAATGGATGGACTTATCTGACAATCGATCAAACCATCCTCTACAAGACTGAAACAAACAAACCAAAAGTAAATAACCAAACACCGTAATTATCAAAATATGAAATAGATATAGCTTCGGAATGCAATTAAGATATTGCAACAATACGACAGTTAAGTTTTCCATGCTTTATTTCACACTTACAGGGCTATTTCTTCTTTACAAACAAAGAACGCACCTGACATTCATTAATTCAACATGAACATTTAAGAATTATAGTTTATATCATTTTTTTTCATTTTCTGTTGCTTTAAATTGTTCAATATTAGAAACCGATCGTGAATGTTTTACCAAATGCAATATGATTTGACTCCCTCGTACAACTTTTGGAGTTCACGAGGAATAATGGACTTAGAGGACTTATTATCTTACATTAAAAGAAATCGAGACTGACTTGGAGCCTTCAATGTCAGTGTTCATTAACACCCAAATGAAACGAATTTTCCCACATTGCCAGTATTCATGAGCTAAACTATCATAAAGATTTAAAGAGTTGAAACTTTGAGGAATTCGATCATGCAGAAGTTTGTATTTCTGTATTTTGTGCTCAAGGTCATAAACGCATGTAAACCACCTAATCCTAAGCCCGGCCAGGGTATCATTTCTCCTCGATCTAAATACTATTAAAATCTGAGGAAAACAGGTATTGAGAACTGAACTGAAGATTTCATCTAATGACCTTGTCGGAGTCTTAAGGAAACTCTCAGAGTTAATATCACTAGAAATAACAGAAATGACAGAAAATAATAAACACCCAAGATCTTGGGAATGGGAGGTTAACAATCTAACACTACATTCAAACGAAATTACATGTGCACATACATGTTTATCAGTGATTAAAGAAAGCGTTAATTGTTATTATCTCAGAAAAAATTCAGCAACAACTACATGGAATAAAAAATCAGTTTCTCCAAAATTTTCCTGTGATTTTGTAATGTTTAAATCTTCATGTTATGGTCCTTTCTGTAAGGCTAGTAATTTGATCCAGAACACTCTTTACCATATCATTTGTTTAAGTAATGATTCCAATAAAAGACGTTGAAAGAAATGAAGGCAAGAGGAAAAATAAAGCGCGAGATACGATCGATTACATCACCAATCGAAAGCCTTGCTCGATTCTTTTTCAAACTCATCGTTTCTCTCTGAATTGACCTTTCTGTCATTTCAATGTCACTTTTTTTCTCTGGGAGGAATGAGTTGACGTTGTTTCGTGAACTGACTATCGTCAATTCACTGTTGTTTGAAAGCATCTCCACGTTTACAAAACCATCATTCTTTAAGAGCTTTTCTATATACAAACTATCTCCAATACGTGCTCTCTGCAAAAGAGATGACACTTCTATCATGATCAAAGAACAAATAAGGTAACTATTCATAACTTTTCAACCGAGGACACCATCGCTATGACATGTCATTTGTTAAAGTTATGACCCAAAATTTTGAGATAGCTCTCAGCACCAACGTACAGTCTTGTATCTCCACGCTGGACGCAATAAACATTGGGTTTTTTATGCAGGATTCAGCGGTTATCTATGGGTTGGCATGTTTGGCTTCGAATCAAGAGATCTACTATTGCAACCTAGCCGGGAATTGTGTAGTGTTTCTCTAGGAAAAGCATTCAGGATACTTCAATCTTACACTGTCTCTCTCCACCCAGGAATATAAAAGGATACCAGCGCACTGCAAGGGAAACACGACGAAATGCTGGAAGGGAGTGGGGATTGTGGGTGGGGGGAAATCACCCTTTGCGAGCTAGTATCCCATCCGGGAGAAAAATCAATACTGCTTAACTCTTTATGCTGACAAAACCGGGAAAAGCTACAGTCCGGATTAGGCCTTCTGGCTCGTAAGGTGACTTGTTCTCACCAGCTGGTTGAGCACCGGCCCGTCAAGCAGTCGATCAGAAAGCCATGGGGGCAGGCAAGCCTTTGGTTCATTATTCCAATTCCCATTTATTTCCTTACCTCTGTCTTTCCCTCCTCTAGTTCCAAACTCCTGTCCCGACCGCTCTCTTCCCGTGATCGCTTTCGTTGACAGAAAACGTACACGATGATGCACTCGAACAAAACAAGAAACACGAACACAAAGGAGACAATCAGATACCAGTCTATAGCCTTTGCATAGCTCACTCGAGGAAGAGACATATTCACCGAGCCCAACAGAAACATTATGGTCAAAAGCGTGGTGATTCCCAGTCCTACTCGACCTCCCATATCATCCTGGCCCAACCAGAAAACGATCCAACTGATTGTGACTATCAGCGTGTCCGGGATGTAGACCTGATTGACGTAATAACCAATACGACGTTCAAAGTGGAAGGAGACTAGAAGTTGGGTGTAGTTTCCTGTGGATGTAAGGTTTGGTCATGTAAGACGTACATGCCACATTGACTCGATAACGAAGAATGTGGCGAACAAGCGGCGCTTTTTACAAACCTAAGTTGTCTTACAGCATATCTGGATCTCTTATTATTCTAAGATCGCATTTAAGGGCACGTGTCTGCACTAATAAGAAAACGGCAATTCGCTTTAAAAAAATCACACTTACGCCCTGTAAGATAGTAAAGTTCCGCATTCAGCTTTTCAGTTCACTTTTCGCGTAGAGAAGACAAGAAACATAATTTATTCGAGAAAAAAGCATATCTCGATCTATAAATTTCATAGCTCTTGTAGGTGAAGGGCAACGACTTTTCAAACAAAGTTACATGAAAGACTTTTTCAGAACTTAAACATGCAAGACACTTTAGATAACCAACCAGAGACATAAGACATAACGTTTCTGTCTGTTGAGGCTTCTGTCATGTCAAACTGAGCAATGTTCTTTTTCTCAACTACGATATTGTCCCGCTTCCACTTGTATTCGACATCTGCCGAGCTGTGTCCATCTGCACGAAATTAATTTACTGCTTTAGTATCAGACCAAGCTCCGCTCACGTTTTAGTTATCGTAGGTTAACATCTTAAGTCTCCCATCAGTATTCTTTTGCTCTCATGAGTGACCAAGACACATTTTTTCCTTACAATATATAACTACCTTATCAGATGTTTTGTTGTGCAGTATATCCCTGAAAATTTTTCTGACAAGTTGTGCCGAGTCAAAATACAAACAACAACTAAAAAAATTTGGCAATACTTCACCAAAACGTTCAATAAGTTATTTTATTACACGACTCAGGAAGTCAGAGGGCCAATAACTAAAATCAACCAATCAAAGTGCTCAATTGGCGGTCAATATTCTCTCATTAGTACCCAAAAACAAGTATGAGAGACATGGTCGAATCACAGCATTTTTTGATTATTTTCATGATTGCTTTTGGAGAATAACTCTAAGATAGCCAAAAGAGGGAGGCAAACTGTCATTTTCCTCGGTCAAAACAAATTAAAAGAAGACTATTATTTTTTCAAAAAAGTCATGCAATCAAACACTTACAACTTCCCAAAGATAAGCCACACTTTTGTGTGTCCATTGGAAAATCCTTCAAGTCCATGGCACAAGAGGCCACAATTTTCACCCTGAATTAAAAAAAAAAACCAAAAACAAAAGAGACCCAAATGAGACCTTATAGAAAGAGGAAAGTAGTTATGAAGCGAAACAGGAAAGCAGAGAAGGGATTATTTTATTTTAGAGACCTTGGACAAAAGGGAGGCAAGATGAGAGCCACACAGGTAAACAGAGAAAGGAATGTTTGAGATTATAGGGATAGGAAAATTTCCAGAAGGCTACTGAAAAATAGGAAGATAGGATTGGAAAGAGGATCAGTGGGAAGAGGAAAAGAAAGGATAGAAAAGAAGGTTCTCTTTGCTAGCTTTCGTTTTGTTTTCTAGGCTTTAACTTAGGATCTATGGTTAGATGCTTGGCTTCATCCGTCGGTCAAGAGTCCGATTTACATTTAGGAGTGCTGAAGACGTCAAGAGCACGGAGTCACGATTAACCCTTAAGTACCAGTGCTCCAGCCTCCTCAGGAGCAATTATCCCTTTCAGAGTCTCAGCTAAGGTTTAAATAGATCTTTTGAGCTATAAGAGCAAATCGGGTTTTTGACTGTCGGGGAGTTCTGCTTCGGGGACCAGTGATTAAAGAAGATGAACTTTTCTCACCGTGAAAGCCGGTCCAGGTCTAAGAACAACCTCAGTTAATTATCACAAACTTAAAGCCTTGTTAATCAGCGAACCTGCCTAGTTCTTCGTACCAGGATAAGTTCATATGATATCTCTTAGATGACTCATTTTATAATCCTGAACTTACCCTTTCGAGTAGAAAATTGCGCCATTGGGATAAAGAAATAAAGAACTCTCTGCTTCGGAGTCTTTTTGTCTGAGATTGGACTGTCTTGAATTACTGATATATGTATCAGGCAACCACGCATGCTCAATGGTTGATCCCTTCAGGTGAATAATCTCCCTGGATTTATTCGCTAAACGCTTGTCTGTCCAGTAGTGACGAAAGTAACCAAATAAGGTGTACTCCTAAAAGGATTTAAAAATTGATCTTTCAGTCTCCTATTACTAAGCATTTGTTTAGGATTTTTTATAGTTGGACAATCATTTTGACAAACGAAGCGTCTTCCGATCATTGGGCTTCATTTCGGACGCATCCTAAAGTTGCAAAATCGTGTTCCTATCTGAAATGTGCGCACACATTTAAGCATTGAAAAGCTTAATGTCTTAGAGAGATGATTGATCCCTTACCATATTGGCTTCTGCAATATTTGCAAACGACTCGACGTACAGGTCCACCTCCATATCCAATGGCCCGACTAAAAAAGAACGAAAAAAAAGAAGAAGGAGAAATAAAATACGAAGAAAACGAAGGAAGGGACAAGGAAGAACCACATCAGCAAAAACAACGAAAACAGCAACAAACGCCAATTAACACCAAAAATATCAATCGACAAACAACAAACAACAAACAACAACAACAACGTGAACAAAGAGAAGAAAAAGAAAAAGAAAAAAACCAACAATACTAATAAAAACAATAAAACAGATAAGTACCTCCGTGGTTGGGTCTCACGTCCTTATCATAATGTGAAAACAATAAATCGAATAACATCTGATTGGCAACTCTTTGTGAAGACCTGTCAGTAAATCAGTAAAAGACGTGTTTTGTTAGTGGTAGTTACTGTGGTACTGTGTCATAGAGATAATAGGATCAAAATTTGGGAAACTCATGGGCTCGCTGATGTATAACCTATAACGCACTTTTTTGCAGGGTTCATGACTTAATTTTCTCTCTCCAAACATCACAGTTTTCATTTCGGAGATGTTTTGCTTGGAAAGCCGTGAAATGAATAAATCTTCACTATTTTCTCTGCCAACAGCCATACTTGTTGTTTTTCTCAATTTAAGATCCTACCGACAATTTGATGGAAGGGATCTCAATTAGTATTGCAGGCGGTCTTTATTATTGGTGGATAATACTCCAACTTCTTTGCTTTAAAATAAAGCCATAATTCTCCATATTAATTTCGGCAGAGCCTGCTGAGTTATTTTTCATTCTGTTCACTTGCACATTGCGTGCTTTTATAAGTTGTTCCATAACTACCATTAGTTTCTAGCCGTTTTTGAAAGAATAATGGACACATCACGATGGTAGGTCAATCACAAACGTTTTCGTCATAGGAAATCGAAAACTTACCATGACATGCTAATAATGACAGCGAAGGCCTCTCTAAGAGATTTATCACTATCTCCCAGAGTAAACTATCTATGATAGACTTTTTCTTAAGCTCATGAACATCCTAGAAGAAACGGGTTTGACCTTGAGCGATGTTTTCACTACACGATTTTTTTCCAAACTCATTTTAATTAATGCAAGGATCTTTTGAAACAATGCTTTGAGAAAGTCTAATTACATACGGCTATTTTTGGGAATCTTTTACATCTAGATTCGTAACTCTTGAGCAAACTGGGCGGAGAGATATTCAACTACATTTCATGAAGAAATCAAAAGTGGTACCTAATTTTCTTATCGTCGATGCGTTTTTCGATACGCAAATGTTAGGTCCAAAACAAAGTGATTTCAAAATTGATGTCTTCATACATTGTGTATCCCTATCGTGTGCAATTTTTTTTTCCAAGTTGAATATAATTGATGAAACAGTATTCCAAGTTGTAATTTATTTAGATGAAATATTTCTCTTCATGAGTAAATTGGATTTATTGGTAGGTGATGTTCGTTTATCAACAGAATGTGCCAACCTTTTTGGCAATGTGTAAAAATGGCCCTGTTAATTTCATTTTGTTGTAATATTCGTTTATAATATTCATGGTAATCAGGTAGGTTTTTATAGGTTTTCGAGACCAAATTAGAATAATTTTGTAATATCAAAAAGAAAGAGAAAATTTTTTACAGAATAGACACGAAAAAAACACCAAAGAAGTAAAATAACGAAGAAAACTTTTTTATACTCAGACATTCACTTTGAAAAATAGCGTCATCAGATTTTTTAAACACCTTTAATCATTTATGTTTTTGAAAATGAATTTATGAATTATGCAAACTCTTCATTTCGAAATACATTTTGTTACTTGCCACGCAACTGGTTTGACAAATATAAATTAATTTGAATTCGGTTTGAACCTCGATATGCCTTTTGTTCTGCACTCAATTGAAGGAATTTTGTGGATCTGTGATATCGAGCATCATCAGGAATAGCTGACAAGATAACGCCTCAATTATTAGCCTTCAAGAGCTCCGCACGATCCTCATTAACAGTTGCAAGTCATAAGCTAAACAACAGGACGTGGTGCGCTATTGTTTCGTATATTATTACGTATATTATTACCGCAGTCGCACATATCAGGCGTTAACTACCAGAAACGTCTTATCATATAGTTTTCTACTTTGCTTCAGTGCAAGAGGTGTTTTAGAGGCTGGGTTCAGGGAATCAAGGTTAAAAGTATTTATTTATCCCTGCACGAGCGTTATGACTACTTTACAATAAAAGACACTCTTTGTAAGTAGTTTGCACAAGAAGGACGCGGGCGATGGATTGTTTTGCTTTTGATATCGAGAGATTTTCAGCTCTTGTTGAAACTAAAACAAAGCATTTAAACTTCGCTCCGACGAGGGGCTAACGCTCGAAACGTCAGCTTTTGTTATCGTTACGGAGGCCAATTTACCACTTCAACTTTGTTGATATATCCAAATTATTTCGTTACTCCCACCGACGCAGCCCCAAACAGTTTCTTTCGAAACTATCAGCCTTTATTCATTTAAACTAACCCATATTCCTCGATAGAGGCCCAAAACTAAATTCAGTTCTTGAAAACAGTCATCAGCGATCACAGCAGTCATGTCAAAATTTAATCGTGACAAACTATATTGAAAATTCGGAAATCAAGCCAAATCTTACGACAAACGAATTCAATCTGAAAAATATGTCAAAGTATTTCAAAATAATCAACACATACTTATATGAAAATCTATCGGTTATGCCTCAAAGATTGCAAAAAATAGATGAATGAAAGTTCTGTAAACCCAACATCACTGTGGTCATTGATCAGTTTTGACTGAGGTAAACCAGAACTAAAAAAAGGGTTGTAATTACTTTGAACGCCAAGAACTATGAATAATCCTTTATTTAGACTCGAAAAGTTTTTTTTCCTGACTTCATTAATAAGGTCGTGGTAAAAATTGAACATATTTTACTTACCCAAATGGCTGAAATATGGTCGTAAAAACCATAAAAGTGTAGAATTTTGAAGAAATCGCAAATGACATGGCGTTTTAATCCAACTGCGTCTGCCTTAAATAAGCGATGGTCTGTAATCGAATGCCCTGAGGTGGGATCTCTACCACCTGCGATATTTTCTCTTTAGCTACCCTATAAAAAAACACTGAATTAGAAAAAAAAGGTGAAAGATACTAAAAAACCTGTTGTTTTTTTTTCCTACAATTTTTAGCGTTGCTTTAAAGCTAGCTTAGCTTTAATATCAGCATCTTAACCTTGTCAAACAGTTTTAATGTCATTAGCTTGGTATGGAAGAGGTATGATTTTTGTCCTCCAAGTCTGCTGAAGTCTCAGGAAGAGTTTTACTCTTGCGAACAAATCAGCTCTAATATTCAAATGAAAAAAAAAAAAAAACACAATCTTTGAACTTTTGTTCTCAAATAAGAACCAGAGTGTTTATATCTGCAGATGTCTGGCCCAATTACACAACTGGCTTGGTATATAACGGGTATGGTGTTTTTTTTATTTTTCAGGTTGGTAAATTGTATCCAAGTCAGCTGAAATCTCAGGAAGATTACTGCTTGTGCGAGAAAAATAGCTCAACACTTAAAATAAAAAGAGATTAGTCTTTCAATTTCTCGTTCCCAAATCAAGATCAGGGTGTTTACATCTGCAGATATCTGGCCCGGCCGTCGATATCTCGACAGTGGTGACTGTAATTGGGCTAGCAGGACTTTCCCTACGATCATATTGATACATATTTTTAAGAGAGAGTGACGAGAAGAGATTTCGGAACCCGAGTGGGTTATTAACAGAAGGAGTCTGACTTATCAAATATAAACCTCTTACCTCAAAGACCGTGTTCTATTTGCTCTTCAAACTCTGTCGCTCGACTTCAATGTGATGAATTAGTGCTGAGACCTCGACCTTTAAAATCAAGTACACGGTTTGCGAGAGGAAAAAGATAACTCGACCTCCTGGCTGTCAGAGTTATGAAATAATCTGCTGGAACTTTCCTCCGAATTCGGTTTCACTTTTGTACAATGTTACTTAAAAACATCGCGTGCACAGATCCAATTAAGAGGCACTCACGTCTAAGCCGGCTTATTCATTTATATACATGACCTAAATAAATGAGTTCTCTTGTATTACATAAATTATATTATGACGCTGCTTACGCAATACCTTCGATATCCGAAGGGTATAAATCAAAAATATCAAACACGCAGTTTGAAAAATTTTATAAACGTGAGCTTAATTAAGCATAAACATGGCTTGTGGTAAGCCTATTTCGCAAATGTTTCAGGATAATTCATCTGGGTCACGCATACTTGAAGCAATTAAAGTATTGAGGCGAACAAATTAAAATTACCATTACCAGCTCACACTACCACATGAAGTAACGGCAGGGAGCAAAAGTAATAAAATGAAAGTTATTTTAAAACAGAATGATCGGCAATTAATCATGACTGATTAAATTTTGCCATCGGTCTTTTAATACTCAAGCAAAGAGCTTAATTGGATGCAATATCCTTTTAGACACCCGCTCAAATCTTATCATATCGTGTTAAGAAAAAATAGTATTTTTTCGCTTGTCATATTTTTTACCGAAAAAGTTTCAGTATTAATAATTAATGTAAAGGCGATGTAATGGTGACTTCTGATGTTGATCACGAGGTGCTAATGACGAGGTGCACTTTACCTATAATCTTCTTTGAATCTTTCCCTCGTACTGTTTGAGGAAACTTGAACGCAAAAATATTGCCAAACAACCTTACTACCTCAATTAATAATTCAAGGTTGCAAATTACAATGTACGAAAAAGAAGTCACCGACAACAAAATACCAACCCCATCAAATCGCAGTAATTGGCCGTATTCATAATTATACTTTAATTCAGACTTCAATATCAATCACTGATTTCTTTTTAACCATAAAGCCAGAAAATATGTTTCAAAATAATCATCTGAGGGGCGTGAGAGTGCAATAAATACTTTTCGTTATCGACTCAAGCGATAAATAGGATCGTAAGAGAAATCCATTTGACTTGTGAAAAGGAAATAGTCACTGAAATGATCATAACGATGTCATCGCACTGTGACCTTTAGAAATGAAGTAGTTCCTGTTGGGTTTTTTCGCAATTTTTGCACAACCAAGTAAAAAGCTTTCTTTACACAGCTGCATAGGTTTCGCAACTCCACTGTAAGGGTCATTTCCTCATTTTATTCAATTTAAACCTTATATGAACTACTTCATATCCAAAATGCCAAGGTTAGTTTTATTTACTTCCCCTTATTTCCCAGAACTCATGATCAATGTTCTTGGAGGATTTTTCTCTGTCTTAGTCCGTCCACTAGTGTACGCTTTGGTGTTTACCATTTGTTGAAATTTTAAGAAAATACTGTCCCATGAATACGTAGCACAACTTCTTAGTCTTGCAGCTAGAAGAGCTGTGTTTTATGGTCACCCTGATCTTTCTGAATTACACACTGAGAGATTCACGTGCACAGCTGAGAAAATTATATTTTCAACCACTGATTTCACACTTCAATTTTCTCCTCGATTATCACAACAATGGCTGAGCTGCCGCAGGCAACAGACCATTTTGGTGGCGAAAAGATGCCGTTCCTCTTTTTTTTTTTCTTTTTTTTTTTGGCTTAAATCTTCTTTTTATTTTTTTTTTATTTTCTCACTTAAAATTTAATGGACCTCAAGTCGCCTTAAAGCCAAGGACGAAAGTAATAAAAAAAGAAACACTCCCAGGTGCTCCATTCAGTTACGTACTAAGGTTGGTAGCCCATTGTTAAGACGGCTGTCTCGAATTTAACGTTAACGAGCGGGGAGTGGGGAGGAGGCAAGGGGAGACGTAACGTAATATGTGTTGCATTAACATGGCAATTGTATCCGTGCTATAAAATTTACGAACGTACTGTATACGTCTTTAAAGATCGTGAAACAGTGTATGCACGTTACAATTCTGCAGGTGAACCTTTACTGAAGAAGTTATACTTTAGATTTTCAAAGCAACAAAAGATAAATATTTCGTGCAGGGAACGAAAAATCCGCATCCACGTTTTTCAATGGGTCAGACACCCTTGAAGTCCACAGATCATTAATTAAAACCAGTAAGATGCCTCAGCATTTCGTAAACACAGGAAAAGGGAATCGAAATAAACACTTCGCTCTCTCAGCTGCAAGACTAAGAAGTTGTGCTACGTATTCATGGGACAGTATTTTCTTAAAATTTCAACAAATGGTAAACACCATAGCGTACACTAGTGGACGGACTAAGACAGAGAAAAATTTCCAGGAACATTGATCATGAGTTCTGGGAAATAAGGGGAAGTAAATAAAACTAACCTTGGCATTTTGGTTATGAAGTAGTTCATACAAGGTTTAAATTGAATAAAATGAGGAAATGACCCTTACAGTGGAGTTGCGAAACCTATGCAGCTGTGTAAAGAAAGCTTTTTACATGGTTGTGCAAAAATTGCGAAAAAACCCAACAGGAACTACTTCATTTCTAAAGGTCACAGTGCGATGACGTTGTTATGATCATTTCAGTGACTATTTCCTTTTCACAAGTCAAATGGATTTCTCTTACGATCCTAAATTTGATCTCATCCCCATAAAAGGAACTCAAGTAGATACGAAAAATGAATATTTTCTTGGAATAAAGTTTCAATTACTGTATAGTTTTAATCTACAATGCATATATTATGAACAGCCGAAAACCGAAAAGGAAGTACTAGTCTTTTGCATTGCTTCTGGGGACCTTAAACAATTGAAATCAACGTTAGGGAATATCTAGACCTTAGCGCTTGCAATGCTAGTGTAGCCAGTAGCGTTAAGAGTTCGCGATCTCTAGTCTAGTCACTGTGTCTGAATTTAAGCTTTAAGTGGACGGAGAGAGTTAGACTCAGTGAGAGACAACAATTCTTGGAGAGGCATGAAAAACCTCTTTCGCTCGCGACAACGCGAAAGCGAGAAAATCCTGTGAACACGGCCCAGTAAAAACAATCTCCGAGCTAACAGGTCACGCCAACCCGGGTTCAATATCCACCTACAGCCATAATCTTTTAGAAAAACAACGAAGGATGTCAAGCAAGTTGGCTGGATTTTCAGTCGTACTACTACCNCTCGAAGGTTCTAACGTGCACGACTGACCTTGCTTCCTATTCACTAACGCAAGAACAGTTCTGACAGTTGACTACGAAATGGCTCGCCCAGGATGAAAACAAACAATATTATTGCTGTTTTCTTGTTTTCCTATTTTAATTCAATGATGCGATTCAAGGAAAATTCATTACCCGACTCGTGAATTCCGTGTTAAATTTCACTAGAAAACCGATATCGCACGAATCGCGAAGCGATTCGTGCGATATCGGTTTTCGCGAGCAATTTAAAGCGGAATTCCCTCGTCAGGTAATGAATTTTCCTATAAAATAACATGACATAGCTATTTTTGCAAGCGTTGCATGACATAGCTATTTCTACAAGCGTTGTTTATTAATAATTTACGTACACATGAGTGTTGAATAATCGTATGATTCAAATTCAATACTGACTACACCTCTCGGGCTGAGCAATTCAACTCACGATTTCTACCTTTAAAAAGAATAGGCAGCAACTCAACATTCGACTAGTACAACACAGCAAAGTCTTGCAAACGTAAATTAAAAGACCAAGTACGTGTTAATGATGCTGCATTGAAATGTATTCTGCAACCAGTTTCTGAGCACAATTAATAAGCTTTGTATACACATATTGAGTGTTAAGTGCTATGTTTCATTTACAGCAAACGAGCTTTCGATAAGTCTTTTTTACGGCACTGCGAATCTCTCGCAATCGCCAGCAGTAGAGAAAAGGATTAACAGCTGAGTTCATAAACACGACCGTTGAGGTTAGAGAAGCTGCAAGAGAACTGTTCATCTTATGAAATGAAGAAACCATATAAACAACAAAATATGGACAATAACAGACTAGTAGAACAAGAAATACTATAAAAGAGTTCAAGGCAGATCTTTTCAGTCCCGCCACGTGTGAATTGGTGATGAATTTGTTATTTGTTTCAACCGCTTGCACCTGGATTTGAATCGCATGTTGGTGATGGCGAACCTTTCCGTATATTATCAGGTTCGAAATAGTCGAGATAAACAAACAGACGCATATCACAGTTTCCAATGCTATCAAAAGGAATCTTTTCGCCCAAACCTCGAAGCTTGCTAGGACAACACAAACTGTCCAAATCACCCCAAGTGTGCAAGTCACACGAGAATTTGTAACAACATTCGGATACTGGAGAGGCTTCCGTATGGCTATGAGTCTGTCCACACTAATGGCTGTAACCGTGCAAAGAGATATCCCACATACACAAAAACCAAACACGTTAAAAACATCCAAAAAGACATCTTTAAGTACCTGGGATTCAGAGTACAAGGATATGAAATCATTTGCGACAAAAAGAGGCTGCACGACCGCACCAACACCGAGATCAGACGATGCCAGAAAACAAAGTAACGTTATTGAAGGTGAACGAAGGCTGGTTGTTTTCCATATTCCATGTAACACCAGCGTGTTCCCGGTGATTGATGTTAATGCAAGAAGAATGTTGAAAACACAATTTATCAGCAAAATATTATGCATGATGGTATTAGCCATTGGTTTCTTTGTCCTTTGGATTTTCGTTTTGAGGTAAATAGATCCACTGACTTTTTTGACAAGGCAGTTGTTAGAAGACAAATAACCGTTGTGGGAGAGAAATCGATTGTTTTGGAATTTCTCAAAGAACAATATTTACAGAGGCGCTTTAATAACGAAGTAATTAAATAGCAGAGGCATCTGTTTTCGCGTTGGGCACAGAATATCGTGCGTTCAAGAGGGCCTAGAAGAACAGGCTGGAGGAACATTGGTTAGGAGTAGGTAGTCGGATTTTCAGAAGTTGCAGAAATTAAATTGACCGAGTCAAACAGCGACGAGAGAAATCTCTGTAAATTTGAAAACACAACCATAGTTAGTCCCCTCAATTAACTATGACACAACTGATATTAATCCTTAATTCTAAAAGCCAACATGTGATGACTAGTTTACACTGTTGCGCTATTAGGTAGGGATTCACTAAAGTCAATGAAATGTCAAACGCACGAAACAGCTTAGTGGAACGTATTTTTTACCACAACGCCAAATTGATGAAGCCAAACGTGCTAAAAAAACATTTACCAACTAGAAATTATTAATACTTTAACGTAAGGTTAAGTCTCTTTCTTGTTTTCACTTCAATTCACATTTTCAATCGGCAGCTGCAGGGAACATTACCAAAATAAAGAAAAATGCCCGATGTCTCAACCATTCAGCATTTAGTAATTTTCCCCTCTTTTTACAAGAAACTTATAATTTGAACGTTGTCAAGGAGCTGGTTTCGAGATAAATATTCCACCAGCAAATGTCATCAAGGAAAAAAAAACAAGCAGTATTCCAAGTGATAGCTCTTGCATTATTAAGTTATAACAGAAGCTTTTAACCCTGATCGGCATGAAGTGTCTTAATTCCCCCATATTGTTTAAAAACAAGCCGGGGTTTATTAGCCGGCCAATCAGTGTCATCAGGAGTGCAATTCTTGCCCAAATATGGTGTTAGAGGTTCGAGCAGTGTTTTCCTTCATAAAAACTTTACAGCCGATTACGAAGAGGCAGTAAAAAGCCTACAAGATAACATGATGAAAAATTCAGTTAATTCATTATCTTAATTAGGAAACGCTGTACAAGTTATGATAATCGATTTCTCTGAAAGCAGACTGGGTTACCTTTCACTGAAAAAAAAAATCGAGCTCAATTCTCTTGAATGCGGTGGCGGTCGGTGAAGGCGGAATGCAAATGAATCGAGAGGATTGCTTTGACGCTGTTAAATGGAAAGGACTTACAATAGCTAACTGTCGAGAAAATGATTAAGCCTCTGAGTTTTCAACGAGATGATAGAATATTTCGAAGCTTTCCAGAATGGCGAACCGTTCGTGAATAGAAATTTGGGAAACTACGATGATGTTTCAAGACCTGATTAACTCTACTTTGGTTGACCGACGATTTGAGACTGACTAAAAGTAGTGTCTAAATTGAAGATTCATTGCTACACAATATTTTGGAGAACACTAGGAAAGTTGTGAATGTGCGACCGACAGCGCTTAAGTAACACATGTGCCAAAGATTGCGGCCTTTCTACTGTGAATGATAATTTTATTGGACGAGAAACTTTGCATTTAATTTCAATAAATAGTTTTTCTCCTTATGGTCCATTTGATTTTATGGCAAATTTAATTCAAAGTTTTCGTCTGGCCAGCCAAGAGATTATAAATCACTTGGGCCAGCTTGTTTTTTAGGGAAAGATTTTTAAATTGATCTGCGGGAAAGTTGTATCATTATGTTTTCGTATGTAAGTTTTTATCTTGAATATATTCTACTGACCACTTCAAGAGAGTCTGCGTCTTAATCAATCATAATTCTGGACATATCCTACACGCTTAGTGATATTGCATCCTAATTCCAGAAGTTGTTTTCACTACTTCAGGTAAGTAAGAAAAAGAAAGTTATCCAGGTAATCTTTATCATACAGGACTTATTCGTTGCTCGTACTTTCAATAATTTCCTAATATTTTTTTACATACAGTGAACTCTCGCATAAGGACGCCTTTCTACTATGGAGAACTCGATAATACGGATAGAAGCTAATTTCCATCACAAACTAGTTCAAAACAGACCTTAAATGTCAGTGACACTATCATGCAGTCTGAAGGTCGTCCTCAAAGATGGAATTGGCGATTATACTTCCCTAGGAATATCATAAAGCCGGAGCGCCTCAACGTCTTCGCTGAATCAAGGACTATTTATATTATGTCATTATTATTTTATTACTATTACTATTATTATTACTATTATCATATTATCATTAACATCATCTTTATTAATATTATTATCATCAGTATCATCATTAACGTTCTCGTCGATATAAACATCACTATAGGTCATGGTTTCAAATCTCGTACAGACCTGAATTTTTCAGGCCTTCTTTTCACTGCTGCTTAAGTAGTGTTCATTACTGCGAAAATCTCTTTCATATTCTTTGTTGTTACTGTCGTTATTGACATGGATGACGGCTTGTTTTGGTTTTGTTTTCGTCACCCTACGAACATCTACACTAATTTTATAACAAAGTGCGATAATCGTCGCTACAACGTGCAACACCGTGCGATGATCTGTTATTACAAAGTGCAACAGCCTTTTTGTCGCAAAGTGCGTTAAGTGATAATGAAAAGTGCAAGAGGTATTAAAAAAGTACGGCGGATATTCCAAAGTGAGACAAGTATCACAAAGTGAAGATGAGTTCCAGTTTTCTTGATAATTTACATAACATGCCATCTATTGTTCGTGTAATCAAAATTTCATAGACTCAACCATGAGGTTGTGTTGCCTAATGTTCACATATTATGCGCACATCACACAAAATAGGTTTATTTGTAGAGCACCATGAAACGCATCTCGTTTTGGTCTTTATAAACCTTTTTCAGAACGTTGAAGTTGAAAGTGTAGCCGTTAGCCGATTAGCCTTGATCCAATCCAACCCCTCAATCATCGAGTCTGGTTATTTCTGTAGGAGGCGCAAACCTGAGTGGTCCCTGCAATGTTTCCTTCGTTGCGGAAGCGCATATGGGAAAGTATGCCCAAGTGACACTGAATTAAAGTATTTAAACGTTATTTTCCCTGTGAAACTGATACCATAAAGACTGATATATTATCTTCAATTAACTTGGTAATTTTCGGATCCCTCCCATCCTAAAATATTTTCCTCGTTTTACCTATCCTCGGTGAAAAAAAAAAAGCCAGTATTTTTTTTAATTATGCGGTGGCTACTTCTCATAAATCCAACCTTGTGTTGGATTTTTCTTTTCTATACCAGGCAGGGCGGAGGGTGATGATAGTTGGCTTTCAGTCGTCCTTGCAACAAACCAGGGTTGGCTTGACTTTTTTGAAGTCTCTCGTGTTTGTATGGACCCTCCTATTTCAATTTTCGCACTATTATTTTACTTCTTAGACTATATCAACTCAATGCTTGAATTGAGGTGAATTCTAAAGGTTGCCCATTCTGGACTCATGCTGAATGTTTTTTTCAGTGATAACCTTGGTTTCTCATCGTCGTTCGTTTGTAAAGAGCACAATGGAAAATTTGCAAAAGCCAAAGTTGAAGACAGTCTGTTTCATAGCCTCTCGAATTTCGCCCAGTCGCCAACAGTAAAGAAAGGGATTTACCACAGAGTTTATGAACACGATTGTTGAAGTAAGTCCTCTTGCTAGGAAGCCAGTGATCGTGTATGGCGACGATACGGCGTAAACAACAAAATATGGGAAATAGCAGATAAAAAGTACAAGAAACAAAATAAAAGAATTGAGCGCTGATTTTTTAAACTTCAACATGTTGTCCAAACTGCCATTCGTATTATTTCCAACCGCTCGGACCTGACTCTGGATCCTGTGTTGATGGTACCGAACCGATCTGTAAATCAACAGATGGGAGGTGGTGGAAACTCCAAGACAAATGGCTGTAACGATTCCAATACCTCTCACTCGAATGTACAAGCTACTTAGCTGCAAGACTGGCAAAAGAACACACATTACCCAGATAATTACAAGAACACGCGTTGCCCGAGGGACCGTAACAAGACCAGGATACTCAAGGGCCTTCTCAATAGCAATCAGTCTGTCTAGGCTTATAACAGCTACTGTGCAGAGAGAGATTCCACATAAAGTGTACCCAAACGTGTTGTAGACGCTCGAAAAGACGTCTTTTACAATTTGGGATTGAGAGTATGCCCGAAGAAAATTATTGACGATAAAAAGTGGTTGTACTACGATGCCAACAGCTAGATCGGAGAGTGCCAAACCACAAAGTAAGATAATAGATGGCGAGCGAAGAGTTGGAGTTTTCCATACTCCATATAACACCAACGCGTTCCCGACCATTGATGTTGAAGCCAGGGGAATATTCACTACACAGTTGATTACCAGAATATTTCGTATGGCATCAGTTATATTTTGTCCGCCTACGGACTGTAAGTTCTCTGAAAGGGATCTCTTAAGAGATGTTTCTGACATGCCCCTAGCATTCGTTTGGTTGACGAAAAAAAAGTCAATTTCCAAGGCCGTTCTGCAGTGTTTCTTTTGTGGCGAATCTGTGGCTACAACTTTTTGACCAACAAGCCAAGAGGCTCATAATATCTTATTTGTTTAGTTGAATCACGTTTTGCGGCCACAACGAATTCAATCGTCACTGAGATGTCGTAATATTAGAGAACTTGTATCTAAACATGTCACCACAGATAACACTAAGTGAAAGTAAGCTCACCACTCTGAGAAAAGGTACTTATATTTGCGTCATACTAAGGGCATTCATATGACAATTGCGAAGGGTTAAATGAACGGAATGGTCTACTTTCAAGCTAAATTAGCATTTTTAGGTGAAACATGCATGTGATGGGTATAATGCTCAGCGTTAAAAATTGTTCTAACGTCGCACAGAGATTTACCTATTCCTTCTTTCCTTTCTTTTAAGTTCTCCCCTCAACCAAAGAAAAATGAAATCACACCAAAAATTAAAACAAGGTATTTTTTCGAAGGTGCGTTGACAATGAAATAAAAGCATAGATTAGGAAATTTGAAACGTTTATTCATCCGTCCAGCTGTCGATATGAAAAAGAAATTAACAAAACACTACAATTTAGTTTCACTTACTGGTGCTACGCCTGCGCATTTTCCAATTCTTTCCACTGATGCAATACTAAGTCCTGAGGCGCAAATTTTCTCATTAAAATGGATTGAACTCGCATTTTTTTAAGGGGAAATTAAAGCCATTATTTTTTCCATCGTTGGTAAAAGACTTTAAAAAATAGATGTAGTTTTGTCGCCCTCGTGTGACAAAGTCTACGTCAAACGTTCCGACTGAATGATGATTCTAATTGATACATAAAATATAACGCAAAGTTTTGGCCGAAACTTCGCATTTAGTAACTTGGTTGATCTGGAAACTAACGCGTTTAAGACTGAATAAAGTTCCGGATCGTTGCATTTCTGGTGAAGTTTGCTTTCTACCTTTATGTTTATCACTCGTTTGTTTGTTGGTGTTTCTTCGTTTTTGGTGACAAGGAAAAAAATCCAATTTAAAATCTGCATTAGGATATGTCATCATCATCCTCGAGAAGTAGGATCACAGTTTGCAATTTTTGTTAGCGATGGTTAATCAGCTAAGAACATACAGTTTCATCCTTTCAAAAGTATACCCCTGATGTCTTTATTTAAACGGGGTTTAAATGGATTAAAATCAGAAACAGAGAACTAAAAGCTGAGTTTTCCATAGTATTCAAATGTAATCACGTGCTTTTATTTTCAATGCGGTAAATTTGACGTCGACAAACATCGGTTTAAGAAGCTTCTAAGAAGAAAACAGTATTGAAACGTGTTCATGAAAACAACTTTACAACATTTTTAAGCTTTGGTGTGAATCAGGTATTAGTAATATCAATCCTACGTTCATAATAAAATGGTTCCTTCTACGTGCAAGCGAAAACCGACACGATTCCGGATCAATTTTTAACCCCTCCAAGAGGCCGCCACTTGTTTTGTACTATACGGAATTGTGCATTAGCTGGAGCGGTGTGCACCAAATAACAAATTTCGAAATCTCAAATGGAATTAACGCTTTTAAGCGGAACTGTTTGTTTTGAAGAAAAAAAGAAAAAATGGAACACCTGACACTTTTCAGTAGTGACGGCAATAGTTGCTCTTTCTCTTTTTAAAGTTTTATTACGCGTTACACAATCGAAAACATGAAGTGAAGTTCCGCTCCACTTTGCACAAGTGTATGTGGAAGAAAGATCGACTGGAGAAAAAATGCTTTTGAAAATTTCACATCTGTTTTGCTTTTGTCCAAAACTTGTTCCTTTCTTAAATTTACCCTCTTTGTCTAACACACAAGCAATCATATGACTCGAAGACATGAACCAATCCAGAGAAGTGTGCTTAAAAATGACGAGAAGAAAGAGCTAAAAAGATCATTTAAGGAGGTTTCTGAAACAGGTGTTTTTGCGCAAATGCGCCATGAGGTGTTCCTCACTTCTGGTTGAGAGGAAATGCTTTCTCTCCAGTTTCTCTTTCTAATGTTTAGTTAAAGAGTCGACATTCACAATAAACAGTTTTAAGACATTTCAGTTTTTCCTTTTTAACTTTTCTTAGCGCGTTTTCGATGCTCTCCACTGACAAACACGTCTGAATATCAATGACGCCACTCCATATTAGCTGATCAATGCTAGCTTCCGCCAATTATTCCGTTAATAACCTCCTATGCTTTAGGTGCTTAATCTGTTTATCTCAGAGTGGTCCATCGTTTCCGTTGACTCGTTAAGGACCATTCGATTCTAAGCTAAGTGAAGCAAGTATGAAATTTGAACGTCTGAAATCAATTTTTCAAAGAAAAAAACACCAAAATGTAATATTCTCTGTAAAGCTCCATGGCGCTATTCGTGAGCAAAATATAACAACAACAACAAAAAAAAATTGCACAGCATTTGCTTCAGGAACGTAATCGAAGCTCTTTCCTGATAGTAAAATTTGCGACTGCATCTTTTTCGTCCATCTTATCCAATCCACCTCTTTCACCAAGAAGAATCGTCCTTTACAATATTAACGGTTATTACGTTTTGCCCGACAAAATGACACACGTCCTTTCCAGCCCACTGCTTCAGTATTGGAAAATATCGAACTCGAAGTCATACTCCTTTCGAAACCTGACGGTCGCTAGTACTAGAGTGTGCGTCGAAAATGACTAATGTCCCATTCGCACCAGCGAAAGATGCTTAATTAAACCAAGTTGAACTGAATAAACATCAGCAGCACTATAAAACTGATAAAAAAATTAATTATACGTATAATTCAAGTAATATCAAATTTTATTGTCGTTGTACTACATCTGAGGTCGAAAAACATCAGTTAAAGCAACGTTAATGGAGAAAACAATTCCAAACCGTGTTTGACAAAACAGCTCTTAAACGGGTTTTAGCTTTAGTGTAAAAGCAGTATTAAACCTCTTCCGCACTGTTGGTTCCCCGAGGCAGTAGGCCTTGAGTTCGTATTCAGCCCCATATCGCCGACATCGTAAACTTCACAAGAATCACAAGTGACTCGGTATCTTTCTCTCTCTCTGGGCCTGTTCAGTGTACATTGAAGGAAACACGGGTGACATCCCTTGGTAAACAGTGTTGTGGCGTGTTAAATTTGCAAGGTACACGTTCAAGACACTCCATATTTCATAGCTAAATTTCTGACGTCATCATCAGTCAATTTCCATTCCTCTTTGTTTTGTTTTAGACTCTGTAAAAGGTCGCGGATAACTGCAATAGGACATATACACAACACATAAATTAGTCTCAACTTTTGATCATCACGTTGTTACTTTTTCCTCGCAAATATATTAGATTAAGAAGCAATCGCATTACTATTTCGTTATAAAGTTGTTGGGGGCGAACTGCAGTTTATCTTAGCACGTCTCCCTTCAAGAGTGACGTACAGTTGTCATAAAAAAAATATATAAATGCAAAGGACACTTAAATAACACTTGACTAGGGAAATGGAACATCTCTTCATCTGAAATCATCATTCTCGGCAAGTGAAGTGAAGTAAAATAATTACAAATTTCGATGTGAAAGTGACCGCTGTAGAGAGAAGCAGAACAAGGTGGAGTGCAATTTTCCTTTAACTCAGAATCATTCTGATTCTACCAATTCATTTTCATTTAAAATAAGTGGTATGGTTTTGTAGAATATTGTTAGTGATCAGTATTGAAGTATATATAACGAGTCTTAGCAATGTATGATTGCAACATTGACTTTGTAAATAATATCAGCAGTGTAAGTAAGCGAACTGTTGGTGGTAAAGACAATGGAAAAATAATTTAAGTCTTAACAATGTCCTTAACATATCTCCTATGTTGTTAGGTTTTGACCCTTTCACTGCCAATAACTCAATTTAATCTCTTTAATGTTTATTTCCCTCTCGCCTCGAGGAGCTTCGCTATTTTGCAAGTAGGGATCGTTAGATGTGTATTTAATTGGGATATAGGGCGCACTTAATTTGGAGCCTCGCTCTGTTGTGCGACCCTCACCAGACTCTGGTGAAAGTGATTAAATAAATAAACAAAAACAAAAAAATTTGTTCAATTATTTTGTTTTGTACATCAAGCTCTGAGAATTCGGCGTTAAATCCAACATTATCCTTTTAGTCGATATTTGTCTGTCCTTTTACCACTCTGCTTGAAAATACATGCATGTGTTGAGGATAATTTTCTTATTGATCACTCCTGGCAGAGAAAGAGTTGGGATGCAGCTCTGACTATGGATTGACATACGTCTCCGACCCAATCAAAACGTGAGTTTGCTATGTCAACATCCACTGGTAAAACCTAACTGCTGGCTAGCGAAAAGGGCTCGTCTAAACCAAACTTTATCACGCAAGAAGTGCATGTAAGAAAATCCAAATTTATACAAGTGAACATGTGAATCCGTTCTAATATTTGACCTATATTACTCAACAATTTCTTTTCAAACAAACATGTGATAAAAAAAAATTCTTACTGACCTTCAGATTTAGTTTCTTTTCGCATTTGCCGTATCTAAGGATTCATGTTCTCTACAAATATTTCGTCAGAGAACACTTGAACAAGCAACACATTTGTGTTCTGAACTGAAAACAAATGTTCCTTTTCTCGTGCAGGATTAGGCATGTTAAAACAAATGCGCTTGTGGACGAAGAAAACCTTGAAAAACTGCCAGAAAAAATGCGTCACCGTTCCGGCCTCCTTTTAAAACTGAGCGCGTCGTTTCATTAATGGACCTTTTCGTTTCTCCTTCGCATGATAACGGATCACTAAAAGGTCCAAGTTCAAACGCCGACCGGGGGGAATATTTGTGTATGCTTTTTTTGGTATTATTAACATTGTTTTTTCGGCATCTCTTTCGAAGTATAAAGTGTGAACTTTGAACACGGAAGCGAGGTTTCATCGTGTAGTCTTACCATCCGCTTCGTACGTAAGATGTGTCTGGGCTACTAGAATTCTGCACATGCTCGTCCTTCAAGTTACCGATTATGTCGATGTTTCGAAGATAGTTTTGAACGTCGAGAATAGCTACTTTTTTTGGTTCTCTTGAAACACACAAAGTGAACCTGTACTTGTTGGAACCAGTTTTAAAGGATAAGGCACCGCATTCTATCCGAGCGAATAAGTAACGTATATATTCTCATGCTGAGCAGCTTTGATCGCGAGGTATCGTTTTATGATGATCAATTGAGATAAACCTAAGAGCGCGCAGTTTCAACTTTTTTTTTTTTAATCCGTTTTTTGAAAAACAACCTGTTACAGCTCCCTATAAGATGGGGATACTTTGCCAACGGATAGAAAAAGACCAATCACAACCGACTCACGCCACTTGAGTCTTACAGCCAATAACATCACGGAAAAACTGACCACTCAGTTTAAACGAACCAGACTTAGAACATTCGACAGACAATAATTATTCTCTTGACTCAGATGATAACTTCTGGTCAGGTTGTCGAAACGTCAGCCACCACAACGGACAACAGTCCTTCTCGGAACTACACTCAACCGGACGATCACACCACATTTTCACATGTTAGCCCCAGGTTCAAACCATTTTCTGTTTAAGATGGGGTCATGTTACTTAATTGGTGCAAGCAGACGCACGAGTTCACTCACCGGTCTTATCTTTGTCCGATAGAAACATCACAGCCATGCTGAATCTCTTCACTTCAGAAAGGTATTTCAACTCTTTGTACATCGGTAGACCATTGCTAAAAAGAACGAACAATGTAAAGCATCCAAAGAGTCTTCAAGTGCTTATCATCAATGCAACATTGAACATGCAAGTAAAAAATCTTATAACACAAGTTTCATCAGTGAGCACAATACACGCACTTTACTCAAACTGACGTTTATTTTCTTTTCCAATTCACGCATTTGTGTATACCGTAAAGACTCGTGTATAAGCTGCACCTTTCGCTTGGACCAAAAATCGCGGGTGCGGCTTATACACGAGACCATCGCTTTTACAGGGAGCAAACTGGCTTGTAGGGGTCATAAATTTGAACTAAGAACCTTCAGTGAATAAAGATTGAACACATTGAAACCTGTTGTTGATCATTGCGTTCGGTAGAAGTGGCGGCTCATAAGGAGCCATTTGCTTGCATCTTCAGGTTCTAAACCCAAATCTTGCTTTCCAGTAGTTCTTTCAAGCGTTTCATTTTGCAATTTGTTCGAGCAGTTAGTAGAATTGTAGTTTTTTACAGTCTGCGCTTTGCATGCGCGGAAACATCTGATTTGTAGGCGCTAGAGGCGCGTATAATGCAGCGGCGCACGTAGGCGAGCTACTATGAATGCCACAAGACTATTTTAACTATAAATTGGAAACTCGCGCGCAATCGCAAGGGTGTAAGTATACACTAAATCACAGTAGACTGTTCAAGTACGTAGGAGATCGAGTCATCTGATCAAAAAATCAACTTACGAGAGGTAGAAATCGCGTAAGAGCTTCGTTATCTTAACCAGCATGTCTGACTCGAGAGACTGTTGGAACAACTTTGGGTAAGATTCAGGGTTGATTTTCTGGAAGCAAAAAAAAGAAAATACTTGTAGTCATTTACCATATTGGCTGTTGGCTTTTTACAAATAAATTGTCACTTCAATAAAAGCAAGTGCATTCACTGGTGAAAGAGTGCTGTAGTCTGAGTGTGCAAAGAACATTTGCAAGAAAAACTTAATAAACGCACAGACACATATCCCAAAAAAACAACAACAACAACAACAACAAAAACAAGCTAAAGGAAGACAGAGGAGGTTGACAAAATATGGATCACAAATATAACTGGTAATGATAGGACGCCTATTTTGATTTTGTCTTCAATCTAAATAGATGCACGTCTTGATGTGTATGATGTAGGATTGTAACAGCCTTCTTTCCACGTGTTCTCCCTACTTTCAATTGTTCAAGATAGGACGTTTATTTAGAGCAATCTATAGGCACTGACTGCACGTAATGAATCAGTTTTGTGCTAGCCATCGAGTGTCGTTCACTTTCAATGATTAGCAACAATCACACAGTAACATGAGGGAAAAAGAAGGTTGACCTGTACTCAGTTAGCAATAACTAATACGAGTTGTAATTATGTTAACTTTATGGTCTAACCCTGAAATACTGAAATAGTTGATCAGGTTCTTTTTGCAGTGCTCTCCAATCTGCTTGAAATTGTCCAGATGACTTTGGCACAGCAAATGCCTTCGAAGAAGACTGTGACCGGGCAGGGAATTTAGGAGACTGAGGCTGAGTGGATAACGGCGTTGATGACGATGACAAAGGAGAAGTTTTACCGGAATTGTCTTTTGATTCTACTTTTAAAATATCGGCTCGAACAGAGGCATCGGCAGATCCAGCTTGGTTAGAACTATTTCTTGTCTCAGAAGTTGGCAAAGAGGCTGTTATTTGAGCTCTGGTTGAAACTTTGGCTGTACTGTCTTCATGGTCGCTGTCACTTTCTGTCCCAATCTCTTCGATGACAATTCTTTTAAGGGGTTTCTGAGGAGAAAACAGACATCTGTTGCATGATGGGAGATGAACCACTTCGAAGCAGGAGAGTTTCTTCGAGTCGATTCTTTAACAAAACAATACTAAAAGTACCTGCTAGAACTGACGGGTTTTTCTGACCCTTTTCAGTTCAATTCTAAACTAGTGAAAGCCCAAGAAATTCCTCTAATTAGAAAGTTTCCAGCTGTTTGAAATAAAAGTACGATTTTCATATGTTCAAATTAATTGATTTATCACTTTGTTGGGTTTAATACGAACCAACATAATGACCAGCTCCGAGTTGGCTTGTTCGCTTAGTTGGTCGATCACTGCTCCGATATTGCAGAGGTCATGGGTTCAAATCCCGTGCGGGACTGAATTTTTTTCAGGCCTTATTTCCACTACAACATAATAAGGTTTCATTACTCCGAGGATCGCTTTCTTACATTTCATGAAACCGCAGTACACACATGATTTTCATTTATTCGTATTACATTGAAAAAGTGGAGGAGAAATGACCTTCGCCGACAACTTTTCTACGAGGTTTCTAGTTTTCACAATATTTGAGGTGGCAAGGTGACCAACTCCCTTGCTACGAATGTTCTGTTAAGGACGAGGTTGCCTGCTACAAATAATTAACGATCCAACTGGGGACTCAGAGAAAAGAATATTAAACTCCATAGTTCATTTAATTGTTTTATTGCAAGGATAAGAAAACTGCTAACAGGTACTGAAAGCTGTCTCTTCGGTAAAACGGCTTTAAATTTTTATTTTATGCTGATCTTTTATTGTAATCAGTCAGTACACAATTGACCAGTCAGAATCAAATTTAAGACATCAATGTTTTCTGAGCAGCTTTTCTTGCGTTCTTTCTCACCTTGGATTTTGCAGGTGACTTTTTGTCTACTTCATTCTTAGGTGACTTTTCTTCAACATTTGTTTGCTTTCTCTTGTCATTCAATAGCTGAACATAAAAAATATTATAAAATAAGTATTTAGAAAAAAAGTACCAGGCCCAGTTGTTCGAAGGGCGATTAGCACTAAATAAGCTTTACATTTAAATCCAGGTTTCTTTATTTCTCTGTTCAAAAGCCTTTTTGAGAAAATTTTCTCAATTCTGTTTGGAACATCCAATCATCAAACTGTAGAAACAAGGATTTAAACCGAATTTTCTTTCAAAGCTTTCAGTTATGAAATGAAACTTCACACTAACCTTGGGTTACCTTAACCCAGCTTTGAACAAACCAGCCCTCACTCAGTAGTACAATTGGTACATAGATTTGGGATAAAATGACAGAGTTGGTACCTTCATGTATCCCATGCCACACTCATGAGAGAATATAAAAATAAAGTAACCAAGAAAGAGTACATTACCTTCTCTATGTTTTTCAATTCCTCTTGAGCCTGCTTATTGCTGGGTTCCAGTCTCAGTACATCTTTATAATCAGCTTCTGCCTCTTCTATCCTTCCAAGCTGAAAGTGTGCTGCTGCTCTTCTCAGATAAGCCTTAGTGTATGAAGCATCCAGAGACAAGGCTTGGCTACAGTCTGCTTCAGCAGCTCCATATCTAAACATGGATTATAATTATAAAAAAGGTTTGAGAGTCGAACAGGAAGAACACCATTTGTAGAATGTAAGCTCTGTCAGTACGCCTTAGTACCTCTGAACATAAATTATAATAAATAAGGTGTAGAGTTGGACAAGAAGAACACCATTTTTAGAATGTACACTCTTAGGGATAGGGATGGGGTTTAAAAAAAAATTTGTTTTTGCTTTTTTTCTTTATTTTAATTTTCTAATCTAATTTTTAACATTATTACTCTATCGCTATCGTCATCCTAACCATCATTATCACTGTCACTGTTTCTGTCACTGTCGAAGTCATCATTAGTATCAGTGTCACTGTTGCTTTATATAGGTGACCTTATGGCATCTCAGTTCATATCACTTTAAAAAAACAAACTTGTAAACAAACAAAACAAGTATTTTGAGAGGAAATTAAGACGAACCTTTTCAATTTTAGAAGACACATTGCTCTGTTGGCTGGGAGTATAGCATTTGTTGCGTCAAACTGAATTCCAGTTGTGTAGCAGTTAATGGCTGCTTCATATTTACCCTCCTTAAAAAGTGCATTTCCCTGTGGATGCACATTTAAATTAAAGTTCAGTTAAATCAAGATATAAAATTTGATATGATTCTACCTTTTAATCATTAATGGACAGGTGTTCTTCCTGTTTATTTGTATGTTATTGGGAGAGGAAATGACTGCATATACAAAACGACACAGTTAATTCTGTTAGATTTAAAATTATGTAACCACTGTTTTTATCTATATATAATTATATAATTTTTAACTTTGGCTTATTTGTTAGTAATTTCTAGTGGGGACCCTTCCAAAGAGCACTCTCAGGGATATTTCCTCAGGTATCACAAATTAAATAATTGCTTCGTATTGTAACCAAGATTGAGCAATCAACACACTTAATGAAAATATCAGTAATGGTTAAAGGACTGAGTGGAATCCAATTGAGTCCATAATCATCATCTAAGTGATTAGCAAAATTGGATGACCACAAAGCAGGAGTCTGATTTGAGGATGATTAGAGACTGAATTGGATGACATGCCGTTCTGCCAATTAATCATAACCATTATCCTTGTGATTAATTGGCAGAACAGCATGTCATCCAATTCAGTCTCTAATCATCCTCAAATCACAGTTTCTGAAATAAACAAATATATTGTACATTTGGGAAAATATCTCTGTTGGAGACAATGTCTAAAGTAAAAATTCCTCCACTTTGGAAGTTCCCCAGTTTTTTTAAGGATGAGTGGTTGTTGCTATCAATGGTTATTGTGATCAAATCTGTGATACATGGCCTGTTGACTTCATCACTTGACAAAGACTAGCAAAAAGCTGTCAAGCTGTTGCAGTCTACATACTGAGTATCTGTGTGACGAAATACATAATTTGTTTGTCAATTAAGAAATCTTCAACATAATGATTGGACCTTTTGTTAAAAATGCATTTTGTATTCTTTAACACAAGGACTCAGTTTACTTTCCTTTAAGTAGGAATAAAATATTATATTTTTTACTAAATCAAATTTCATTGTTTTTTATTTACTTAGCTTCCACCCTTAAAACATACAAATAACACAGATGTAATAAAATAATATGATATTTATTAGTGCCTGTGAAACTCACTAACAGCATCACGCTGTCACATTAAAGCATATCAAGATGCGGCCAACCAACCTCCAAAGTGAGCATGCATGTAAAGATGAAACAATTTTAGTGTAAAAGAAAAAACCGAGCCCCAGATGGGACTTGAACCCACAACCCTCCATGATCTAGTCGGATGATCTAACCACTGAGCTACTGGAGACTCTATGGTGAGCAAGGGTCAATTTGTGGGTCTCGACTGGAACTGCAT